GCACCACACATAAGAGTCCTCGTCGTATTTTGTGTCAAAATTTGACCATATATTTGACAAGCTAAATGTTTATGCATGAGACCAAAATTTATTTTGTTCGATCATATCTGAATGTAATTTCCAATGATATTGTTTTTCCTATATATAACTTATATTTCGGTAGCTAAAATTATGGTCAAAATATGACCCAAATTATGAAAGAAACTAGTGTATCAGGACGGGGTAGTTGTAAATAAGGTAGTGTGAACCACAATAAAAGATTGAGAAAGTTGCAACTGAGTGCGCATTGTCTCCGGACAGATGCATTGGGACTGTTGCATGTCAGATGATTATCAGGCCATATGTGCTTAAACTTTCTTCTGGGCATTAATGATATGCATGCATACGCTACTGTAGGTCAGACTGTATGAGACCATTTTATCCGGTTGTGCCGCTATGTGCATGTGATCTTGTGCAGCAGAAGAGACAAAGAGGAAGTCTTATCTCCTTCTCATACCCAGCCCATCGTTTTGTCAACCAAAACAATTTCTGACTACTTGTACTATTGTTTTTGTACTCACACACAAACGAGAAGAAGAAAAAATGAGAAATACTTTCAGTAAAACAGATATACATGACATGGCATATACACTACTATTAGAGAAAAAGATCAGCGTGACATCTAGCAAATGCAAACAGAGAGAATGGCGTTTTAACAATCACTAGCAAAAATGTCTATGCGTTGCAACGGAAGGAAAAAACAACATATGCATCTAGCCCGAAAAGCATAGCTCAAGGGCCCCTACTGATCCACGTCCTTGATTTCAACATGGTGCCTCGCCCGTGTTGCCCATTATTCTCCTCTCGCCGATATTGGTTGCAATTTACAACTAATCACAATGTGTTTCAATATGAGTCAAGGGGATGAGCTCGGGCATCACACGACACCGATGCCATTGAACAACACAAGCGCAATCAAATGTTAACAAATCTCGTCGAGCTTGGAGTCAAGGCCACCATCCGTTCATACATATCGTTCCTCATACTACCTCTTGCTTTTGACTTGAAATGTCATAGACTTGTTCCACCGACGGAGGACGGGTCCCTCACATGTCATGACCACTTAGCGTCTGATCGTCTCCTAATGGGCGCCAATTTGTCACACACCACATGCATATAACTCGAGGCATGGGGCCTAGGATCGAAACTTCTCTGCATGACTTGGTTTCTTCGCCGTTCCTCCTTCCCTTGATGCCAACAAAACCAAAACTCAAATCAGTCGTTTACTCCATTTGAGCCTTGTTGAGGCATAGACCCATTGGGAGGAAGCCCAACGGCTCACATTTTCATAGTCCAAGAATAGACTGCACATTTCAGACTTCAGACTCGAGATGTTTTACATCGAAACTCACATTGACCTCCGTGACAAAGAAAAAGCAAAAAAATATAATGAAATCAAGCATGTCGTTAGTTTTGTGGAGTATAAAAACTGATTAATTACAACACACCATGAATCACATATAACAAATAGATGATTAGCATGTTTGCTACCACAAATGATTTGCAGTGTAACACTAAGATACAAACAACAATAGATGTTCCAGCCTTCTCTTAACAATCGAAATTTTTGCATCGAACAAAGGCATCATTAATTTCTCAAGTAACACCAGCTTTTTAAAGTTTTGTACAACCATTTTTTTCTGTTCCAATATTCTGACAACATGACTACATTTTCAGGTTGATGTGTACATGCAACCAATGGGGGCAAAAGAAATGGTTCTCCAAGCAAGAGATTGCGAACATACATGGATTCATATTACCTGCAGAAATTCCCCATAATTAAACATTTCTTCTTTCATGAATGCAATAAACCTGATGAATTTCTTAAAAATTCAGTCATTGACTTCACATGGAATCAAACTGCACATGTACTTTCTTTAAAAAAAACTGCATATGGACATGAATGGTTCCTAAAGTGTTGGACCAGACATGTTCGATTGAATTGTGTTCAGAACTGGATCAACTTATAAACGAGATAATTACGGCTATAGTCCTTGTACTCTCCGACGCGTAACATGATGGTCATCGAACTCGCGGAATGCTCCACTACTATCCTTAAATACGAAAATATGGTCCAATACGGTCCTGGCCACGTCTCCCACTACGCCATACATCTAGACTCTGATACCACATCAGCATACAGTAGAAATGTGGGTCCCACATGTCAGTACGCGAGAGAGAAATAGTATAACTCAAAAACATAAACTGGGAGCGGTTGCGTTCGAACATGAGAGCCCAGGACATCTGGCAACGTGAGCGAGCCACAAGAGCTACATATGCTACATGTATACTAGTGGTCTATAAAGCTTAATGTAGAAAATAAAATTGGGTCGGCATGTACACTTGTACAGGTAAACATGAACTTTTTCTGACATTTATGTGAATTAAAAAATGTAAGAAAATTTATGTGTCTTCATTCAGGACCACAAACACGCACAATTGTTGTGCATCCTTATTGTTTATTTTCTCAAATGCAAAATCATTTTTAAAATTAACAATATTTATTCTTAATAATGTTTATAGTATTTTTAGGAAGTGGTTATACTTTTGCCCAATTATATGCCCAGCTATCAGTTTTCTTATTGTTTTCTTCCAAGTTCATGTTTATGTTTCCTTTTTTATCTTTTTGTTTAAAAATGAAATGCAAGAAAAGTTTACAATAATTAGAAATACATAATTATCGTGTATCTGAAATCTTCATTTCATTTTATTATTAGTTAAATAAAATAGGTAAACATGAACTTTTTCAAATTTATATACATTTAAAAATAATAAAAATTACATATCTTCATTCAGGACCATATATATTCTTTTTTGTAAATACACAGTTACTTAAAGAGTTGACAACATGTATTAAAAATTATTGTGTAATCCTATTTTAGAAATATATTAAGAAAATTCAACTTGTATTTAGAAAATCAACATGTTTCTTGAAATGCAAGAATGAGTTTACGCAATAATGTTTTAATACACGACGAACATGTTTTGAAATAAACGTTGTCAATTTTTTGAATGCATGACAAAAATTTAGGAAAAATACATCTAGAGGTTTGTAATACACATGAGACATTTTCCTAAATCATTCTGAACATTTTTTCAAATTGCACAAACACTTTATTTACCTTTCATGGTAATTGTAAAACTTCCTTACATTTACTTTTAAAATGGAAAAAAAGATAAATAAATGTGAACCTGGGAAAAAACAAAAAAAAAACCAGCGGAAAAGGAACGTGATGGAGGCACACTATGGGCCAGTTCTTTTGGGCGATTCTCCGAGAATCGCCCCCCCTCCCTAGCTTCTCCCAGAATCGCCACTATATATATTTTTTACAATCCTATCTAGTTAAGGTCTAATTAGCTAGGATTGTAAAAAAAATATGAAGTGACGATTCTGGGAGAATCGCCTAAAAGAACTGGCCCTATATATAGGTGGTTAGCTTGTGCGCACATTACAATCAGCGAGCAGAGGTGTCAGCTTCAAACCTCTGTCCTGCAATTTATTTTGCTATTTTTTCTCTCTCACTGTACTGACATGTGGGCCTGTGCTTCTACTGTATGCTGACATGGCACCAGACTGAGCTGTAGGCGTATCGTGAGATGTAGTCAGGACCGTTTTGGAGCGTATCCACATATTTGAGGACCGTAGTGGAGCATTTTACGAGTTTGAGGACTGTCGTGTTACAGGCCAAAGAGTACAGAGACTGTACCTGTAACTATCTCCTTACAAACTGAAAAGTAGGTTGCTTCTATTGTCTTAAGGAAACATGAGGAGAACATAACAAAACGCATATAGCTACATGAAAATTAGTTGACTTTCCTAACTGATCTATGGATTTCACTGAGAAGCCAAGAATATTGGTTTGCTCTCTGTTGTGCAGTTTTTTTTTTGACGCATATATACAAGAATAATGAGACTTATCTACTAATTCACACGTCCATGAAACCTTTGCTTGGTCCTCTAATTCACTTGATGAAGTTAGAATTCTTTTGAATGAATAAAATCTGTCGGGACAACTTCCTATCCGCCGGTCTAATTGCACTCTTGTCACCACGACGAACTCACACCCAACTGGCAGTTGAAGCATATATATATGTTCAGTAAACCAGGTGATTACCACCATCCATGTTTTTCTAGCATATTTATGGGCATCCAAGGTTTTATGCCTGTTCATCAAGAACATGCGCATGGACAGATATCTTGATGAACTGAAGCAGTGGCCATAGCAGAAGGAGTGCTGAACACTGAACAAAAACATTATCGATGCAGTATTCGGTCAAAGCTTTCTGTCGCCAACCAGGGAGAGCCATAACTCATGCAAAGTGCTAGTCTGGAATTCACATTCATCCACCCCTGTCTGCTATTGTAACTGCATGAATAGCCATCACCTCACCAAGATGTACTCCATGCAATTCTGTAGGCCCTAGCAAGGTTAGAACTTGGAAATTGGGATCAAAGCTTGGTGAGGAAGACAAACCTCTCACAGCTAATAAATGTCCCTATGATCTTGTATTTTTCATAATCTAAGTACGTAGTCCCTCCGTCCAGATTTACACGTCGGGGAAATGGTGTATCTAAACCTATTTTTAATTCTAGACACATCCATTTGTTTTCATTTCTACGATAAGTAATTCAAGACAGACGGAGGTAGTAGAAACAAAGCAGCCAAGACAAAAATCGCATGCGCTTAATCTCGGACGTAACGGACTGGTAGATTTTCCGTTGAGGAAGGTTGCACATAGCATGTCGAACCTTGGCGGCGTGTGGATGGAGAGGGGGTCAGTGAAGACGGCGTGGTCGCTCAGGTATACGTCCTGAAGTGTCATCTCCGGCGTACTCACATCACGATGTACAATGAATGCATTTGTGAGGGCCAGAGCCATTGCTGAGCCAGTGTGAGGTATGGAATCGACGTGTTATTACATTTTTGAAAAGAAAATCAAAAACCTCGAACGTAATATACTTATGATGTGATGGTAACGGAGCGGTAGATGTGTTGCAGGACCCCTGTGAAGCGGTGGATGTCGAGGGTGACGTTCTGCCCGTTGAGGAAGGTCTCCCACAACATGTTGAATCCCTGCTTGTGCAGGGAGACGGGATCCGTGAACACGGTGTGGTTCCTCGGGTACACGTACTTGAGCGTCGTCTCCTCCGCGGTCACCTCGTACTCGACGTAGCGAAGCCCCATGGGAGCCACCGGCTCGCCGTAGGAGGTCCAGGCCGGCCACTTCATCTCGCCCCAAGGGACGATCTGCACCACCGTGCCGTTGCGCGGGAGGAACACCATGTTGCTCAGCCCCGCGCCGTGCACGCCCACCAGCACGTCGCACGAGTTCACCGTCCCCGCGAACTTGCCCAGGTCGCGCACAACCTCCGGCCCCGCGGCTACCACCTCGAAGCCAACCTCAGTGGCAGCTGCTATAACTTCCGCCTCGTTCATCAGCGCCCTCGAGTTCCTCCGCAGCACCATGACGAGACGAGGCCTTCCACTCTTTATGGGGGTCACCCACTCACGCTTCAGAGAGTAAGCCGACCGGAGCAGGCCGCGAAAACCCATCGTCGTGTAGCCCTTGCCGGAGAGAGCCGAGTCAATCCCTAGCTCCTTATGGCTCTCCGTTCCGACATGCACCGACGGGAAGCAGCGCACCTCGTTGTCGGCGTCCAAGTCCATGACCGGGTAGATGGAGAGCATGGAGAGGGCGTGGCGGTACTTGGCGATCCATTTGCGGTCGTAGTTTGTGGCCACGAGCCGGACGCGGCCGTCGTACTCCCGCGCCGTGTTGTAGAGAGGCATGATGATGTCGGTGATGGCGTGGAAGATGTTGACGCCGTACCCACCGGTGGAGAAGACCACCGCTGGGACGTCGTAGGTCACCGTGCACCGCGGCGCACCCGGTCCCGGTGGGGCTCTCCAGCGGATGGTCACCTCACGGACCAGCTGCATCGTCGGTGTCTCCCATTTGCGCGGGTACGGGCGGATCGTGATCGTCCCATTGTCTGGCCGGTTGTCGTCGGACGCTGAGACGACGTAGACAGTAGCGGTTTTGCCGTGCAGACGGACGTCACCTTGCATGGCACACATGTTGGTGCGATAGCTGCTGAAGTTGCAACTTAACTTGCTCCTTGGTGCGGCTACATCAGCATCTGCATGCACACAATAGTTATAACGTAATTGGTTAAAAACTTCTCTTTTACATACATTTTTCTGTAACTCTTGGAGGAATTAAATTTGCCACTGAATTCTACCATTATCGGATATCCTCCTTTCGGATGAAAAAACCATGTTACAACCAACGAAAAGCCTGATATCATTAGTTTGGTTTGCTACCAAATTTCTAGTATCGCCAGCAAATTAAGTGTACTCTTTGCCTGTTAGCCGAGTGGCCCGAAAATGTTATGAATTCAAATAATGGTTCAATATATATTCAGTATACTACTTTGTATCTACCTGATTTTATCAAAGAACCATCCATTCCCATCTTCGTGGCGAGGAACCCCTTCCCATTTTTGAGATCTGCAATAGATAACAAGGATCATCAATGCCAGCTTTCCCAAAGCCTGGATCTATTTCATTTCATTGTAATACCATACCACAAAACATAAATCGTACTGTAAGGGTTTACCACAGAATGGTAGCACTCCCTCCACTCCAAATTAATAGAAGTTCAAGCTTTGTGCTAACTAAAATTTCCTATTATTTGGCCAAGTCTGCAGATCAATGTTCTAATATCTGTATCATCAAATACATATAGTACACAAACACATTTTATGATGGAAACTAATCTTGGCGTTGTAAATGTTGTATACTAGTAGTATATATTTTCATCGCAAAATGCCAACGGCGGTCGGCCTCCATGGAGGTGGGTATTTTGGAAAAATCAAAAAAATATTTTAAAGTTTGAAAAAATCGTGAAAAAAAGCATACATGTTAACATGGATGTATTCTACATGTGTGTAAATTTTGAAGATGAAAATACATTATGATGAGAGCTACACAAAAAAGACAAATCGCGGTTTTCAAACCGGCGAACAGTACAAACACTGTTCACTATTAGAAATGCACGATTTTCTCTTTTTTGTGTAGCTCTCACCGTAATGTATTTCGTTGTGAGATTTTATAGACATGTAGAATACATCCATATGAATGTGTAGAATTTTTTTTCAGAAAATTTTGAAACTCCAAAATGTAATTATTGAATATATTTTTAAAGTATCCACCTCCATGGAGGTCGCCCGCCAAAAGCCCTCACTTTTTTCATATGCTATACACAGTGGTGGAGCTTGAACAAGATATTTGATGAGCAAAGCAGCATGCTTAAACTTGAGTAATCTTTAAAATTTAAGCCTAAGTAACAATTCAACCTATTCTAGAGAAATTTTCTAGGGTAGGGGGCATGGCTCAGTTTGCTAGCTACACTGCCCATAGTGGGAGTAATTTCCGTAATAACATAGGGTTCAACTCATCAAATTTACTTATGTGACAATAATTTAATGGGGAGACAGATGCTTTGAGTAACATGGCTAGTTACTCATATTATGAGTAACATCACACATACAAAGATAAGATGAGTCTACAACCTAATAAATGAAGTGTTGCATGACACTACACATATGTTACTCCTCACTATAGAGGTAGTAACATAAGATACTAACATATGCATGTTACTAGTCTAAGTTACTCTGCCTAGTCTTAATTACTAGGAAAGCTCCGCAGCTGACTATATATATTAAGGTTGTACTAAATCAGCGACGATTACATGGATTAGAGAGAGTAGCACATAGTAAATCCAGAAGTTGGAATCATTTGGACAGAAAACACATGCGTGCACTGCACATTAGTCCTCAGATCTGTTGTGCAGAGAAGAGAAAGGTAATTAATTAGTTACCTCTGTTTGCATCGACGACCTTGTCGGGCATCTCGTCGCCCGACGCCGGAGAAGAAGGGGGTGCTTCGACGACCGGATCTGAATTCATCGACCACAGGGCAAATACTGTTGTTGTTAGTGCCAAATCGAGGATTTAATTAGAGACATGGCTGAGGTTAAACAAGTGAGTTTTGTGGCATACCATGTGCAGCTTTTGACTTGGCTACCAGTTGTTGCCGCGGCTGCCATATCGCACCCTCTACACCAGCTTCGCCAATGCTGGTCTCTGCAACTGCAAAACAACAATGGAACGCAAGTCATGTCCACCTCTAGCTTTATACGCATTGTGATCGCAAATACTCCTATATGGTATGGGAGCGGCTATTTATCAGTTAGTTGAACAAAAAACAATTGTGTCAGTCAAATTGTTAGGCGGTTGGATCGCCATCCAAAGGCCAGTATCGCGCCATACTGTTCATCT